GTTGGGCGGTAGATCGACGCGTGGAGGGTGTGTGTTGATGTGTAGGTTCGGAAGAATAGCACTATCGAAGACGTAGCGGAATGTGTTCGTCTTCTACATCCCTAAGTTGGAGGATGGGTTGAGGGTTGAGAAGTTGAGATGCATAGGTTGCAAATGACATCGTGGACTTCGCCGGGGTTCTAGCGCAAAGAGAATTTAAAGACGAAGGCAAACCAGGTATGGATTATGTATGTCTGTCGAGTCAAGGATGAAGATGCCGCTCCTCAGTCTTCAGTCTCCTAGTCGAACCTTCTGCTTCACTTGCTTACGACGGTCATCCTAATCCAATTGAATCATTTGCGATCAAGAACGTCGAGCAGGCATTGCGCAAGTGGTGGGCAGAGTAGCGATACGGATAAATAAACAGCAGAAATCGGCAAGAAGAAACCTGAAGAAACACGGGCGCCTACGTCATTCCCGTTTTCCGCAAAAAATTCCAGCTGTTTTGAAAAACGGAGGCCAGCCCAGAAAAATTCGAGTTGATTGCCGAGCCCTCGGCATCAAGTAAGCGCTAACTAGTAAGCTGTGGCGAACTGTTGCTCAACTCTCAAAGACTGTCAAAGTCCTGTTAGAAGTGTGATCTACTACATACTAGGGGATAGTAATATACTTTGAGGCTCCACCGAAAGAGATATAAGGAAGGCCAACTATTCCATAACCATGCAGCCTTGTGAGTTGTCCTTGAAAAAATGGTGCTGCTGCTCTTACTAGATGTCAGACCAAATGCGTCCACCTACCAATCAATAACTCGCTGTCGCGGGGATGCAGTATGCTCTTCACAAATCCTTGCTTCCAGCTCATCTCCAGCCTCTAATTCTGCCACAGTGCCAAGCCCATCCAGCTCCTGCTGCACCTCAAGCACCTACCGGTAAGCAAGAAGTCATTTCTCGGGTGATATACACTTAGCGATAGTTGTTGCCTATGACAGAGAAATGAAGGGGAATAGCTGATTGACCGTTGTGTGCTGACATGGCAGAGCGCTAATGCTGAAGCGCTCATGTGCCGGCCTCGGCGATCAACTCAAGTTTTTCCCGGGCTGGCCTCCGTTTTTCGAAACAGCTGTCACCAAGGCGTGCTTATCAGAGGTTTTACTGATGTCACGCGCGGGCCAAGCCCAGCCAAAACCTTAAATATATCTTTGTCTAAATTCTCTCTTTGAGATTCTGACTTCGAGACTCAGACTCTCCTTTACTCTGCCTAGCTTATCTCTTAAATGAAATTGGGTATTTGCTCTTTGGTTTTACGGTGCCCGGTTGATATGACTCTGAGGTGGAGAGTTCGAACCTCTCGGAGCAATTCGTGTCATTGAGTGTTGGGCATGTCCACTCTTTTCAATTACTTGTCTGAAACTATTTATTCCTTCTGGGTTCAGTTTTTCTTTAATGGGAGAGACTTACTTATTGAGCCATCTAACTAACCAATTTAGCGTTCGAGCCCGCGCCATGCAAGTATGTCTCTATATCTTGTAATTCGACTAATCGATGTAAAAATATATACAATGCACTGATTTATATGAATATCGTTCTACCTCCCCTACTTCCTCAGCAAAACCCATGCCAAAACATCATCCCTCACCCAATAGACTGAGACCCAAACAACCCCGACCCAGGGAAGAATCCATCTCCATCCTCATCCACATCCACATCTGCATCTTCAGTACCAGGTCTAGCTTCAGGTTCGGCAGCGTCTTCCGCACCCCGTTGCTCGCCCAAATATTACTACCGCTATTACGCATGGCATTCCTAAAGTCATCATGCAGGTAACTCGGGCTCGTCTCCGCTTGAGGGAAGGGTCCGGAATGAGATATAGAATGAGGGTAGGGAGAAGGGTCGGGGTCGGGTGCGAATGGATCGATGTCCTCCGGTGCAACGTGAGTCGGGACCGGGACGTGGTGTCCTACCCCTCCTACAGGCGAAATCGGGAGTGACACCATGACGTCGATAGATTCAGGTGAAGAATCCGCTCCTGCTCCTAGTGCTCCATGATGGGAAGGATGCGAAGGGTATTCCTCGTATCTCGTTCGAGGCGGAGGCGGAGGTTGGGCTGGGGTTGGGTACCGCTGTGTCTGCGTCTGCTGCTGCCATGACGACTGAGGAGGTGGCCGAGTCGGGTGCTGCATCGGAGGCTGACGCTGAGCTCGTTGTTGCCTCGACGCTGGGGGTGGCGCCTGGAACGCCTTTCTCACCATCTCCCTGCGTTCCTTTATCCCTCTCTTCCTGCCATCGCTCTCCCCCACTCCCTCCGCCCCATCAATCCCCGCACAAACATCCAAACACGCGCCCACATCACTTACAACGCCCGTACAGAATAGCCCTACCACACCCGTCGTTAGCGCAGCTATCACAGCCCCAGTTAACGCGTAATGGGGTGCACCGAGGCCCCAAGGAGAAGGGTAGGAGATGAATAGGTATGTGAAGAGGGAGAAAGGGAGAGGAAGGGATAGGGACGGGGAGAGGATCAGGGGGATTGGTGAGCCGATACCAAAGTTGGAGGACGGCTTTGGGTGGAATCTGGCGTTTGGGTTCGAACTACGGCTATGGTTAACGTTCGCGTTGACCTTCCTCCCCAACCTCGCACAATCCCAAAATGCCTTTCCTGTCAGACCGACATATACCAACGTATCCTCACCCATACCCATTTTGTCCATGACGCCTTCCAACCTTCCAATCGCTCTACTCAGCATCCACCCACTCGCTTGACAGAGCAGGAACCAACCCCTCGTCAGCAAGGCTACGTTTGCAATACTGCTACCCATTGCAGAGAACGCAAAGGCTACAGGGGGAGGTAAGCAGAAGCTTCCGAATGAAACGGTCGACGAGAGGACAGAGGCGAGGAAGTAAGGCAGGTTCATTAAGAGGAGGGTGAGGATGGACAGGAATCGGAGGAGGGTATGGAGGAGGGCTGATAAGGCGATTGAGCCAAGGGAGGTATGGGTTGCGCGGTGTAGGGATGCGTGGAGTGTATGTGTTGAGGCTCGTGCGGGGAAGCCAATGAAACCTCCGCCTTCGGTATCAGCGAACATTGTCGGTGGAGGAGCCAGGTCCGCATCAACAGCAGCATCCTGCACTTCAAGTTGAACATCCCAATCGACACCGAAATACCACCCTCCCACAACACCCGCGCTCACAACTCTCAACACACCCCTTACTACGCCCCATGACCACAACCACACAGCTACTCCCCCGATTATACCTAGCTCCGCGATCCATTTCAGGTGATACGCACTCCGAGTCCAATAGCCAACCAACAACAACCTCCCTACCATAACCGCGAACGGTATACTCCCCACCAACGCTCCGAACAGCAGAACCGGGCTTAGGCCTAATAAAAACGGATTCGCTGTCAATACAGCGGTAGTAAGCCGTAGAATCGCTTCGGTATGTGCGAGCTGAGTCTGTAGGAGCGGCAGGGTGTGTGTGAATGTTGTGTAGAGACGATATAGACGGTAGAAAAGGTATAGCGAGAGAAGAAGGGGCAGAAGGGAGAATATACGGAGGCTAGAATACGATATATATCAGTCAGTACTTGGTTGTTGTAGAGTTAGCACGTACCCAGTACTTTCCGCATCCGCATCTCCATCCAACCCAAAACTCCCTGCCCAAGCCCACAGCGCACACCCAAACAACAACACTGGTGTTCCCAACGCACTAGCCCACATCACCGGTCTCAGCCATACTCGCAGGAAGAGAATGTGTATGTAGGAAGCGAGAGCGGAGAGGAGGATGAGAGGGATTAGAAGGGGAATTGTGTGCAGGAGAGTCGGGTAGGGGGTTGGAGTGCTGTTGGGCGATGAAGGAGCTTTGGTAGAGGTAGTGAAAAGGAGTATAAACGCTGAAATATAGCAAACGCAAACTCCGGATAACCATATAGTCGTCCATAAGGCATCGTTATATTTCCTCCTACCTCTGGCTCGACTCGAAGAGAGTTTTCGAGGATCAGGAAGGTTAAAGACAACGGTATCATCATCGCCGTGAGGTAGAAGGGACTCGGTTAGAGACGAAGAGGCGAGGGTTATTGTCCGACCTCGTTGAGTTTGAGGTTGAGCTGCGCGTTCTCGTCGAGTAGAAGCAATCATACCCGAAGGTAAACTGTCTACTGAATCCGAGTCGGAGTCCACTTCGTCCTCGACATCGACTTGCTGCTGCTGCTGCGCCTGATCTAGTCGCAGATACGGATCCGGGTCTGCGTTCTCGTCTTCGTCTTCGACCTCCTCATCATCGATATCACCCATACCCATGTCAGCAAGGAATCCTCTACTGCTACCACCAGCTAGCCTGAGCTCTTCATCGTCTTCCTCGTCTTCCTCTCTACTCGGAATTCCTCGTACCTCTGACCTCGCTAATCCTAATCCAAACCCGAGTCCGAATCCAGACCTAGCTCCAGCTCCAGCTCCGCCTCCTACTCCTGACCTAACGCCGGCTTTGGCTCTATGGTCTCCGTCGTCTTCATCACCGTCGCCATCGCTAGCGGTAGTAAACGAGAAAAACATCGGATGCGACTCCGAGTTTGAATTTGAGTTGGAGGATGGGGAAGTATTATTTCGGTTAATAAATTGCGATGCATAGGTTGCGAACGACATCGTAGTTGAAGGAAGCGCTGAGTGTACTCGTAAGTTTGAGAATGAGGCTGAGGGAAAAATGTGTTTGTATTATGTACAAAAACGAGTCAGTGGTTGTCACTGTCAGGGAAGCGGAGCCTCGTGTGCAACTGTTCAGTTGGTTGGCTAGATGAAGAGCAGAGTAGCGTAGATAGCGATAGCACAAAAGCAGAAGCCCTCGGAGTCGAGGTTCCAAATTGAAAGAGTAAGCAAGCCCGAAATGGCATGGCCCAGCGCTTGCGTCACCGGCGCCAGTTCAAGTATTCTATATTCTAGTCACTCATCGCATTTCCATTTGGCATATGGGAACGAAAAAGGCAAAAACATGAGGAATAGATCACAGCTATCACGGCTCTCTATGTAGCTGCCCCAGAGAGGCTCGAACTCTCGACCTTCCGATGTCAAGCTGAAAGAATAACAGTCGGACGCTGTAACCAACTCAGCCATGGGGCAACTGCGCTTGAATTCGACTTGTTCTTACACATACAATTAACGGTTGAAGCTATTGATATGCTACAATCAAGGCCTTGTATTAAGATAGGCCAGCGCTGTTCAATGGAAGGAAATAGTTGTGAAGGCACAAGTACTATAAAGAATTCGGAGACGAGAACGTTTAGCGCTTTGAGACTTTACCATCATCTATATGTCGTTCCTTCGCCTTCAATGCGAGTGGTCCACTTGAGCTGAGAAGTTGAGACCCGAACAGCAAGTGTGTCACTCCATTCTAAGTTAGTATTGTATTCGACTAAACCCTATATTATTCAGCAAATAATCTCTGAATCCACATATCCGGTGCGTTGTCAATGTATCCCTCGTTTGGGTATTCAAATGAAGATTAGCATTGGGCTCGGTAGACGAGAAAAATCAACTCCTGCCGAATACGATCCAACAAAAGCACCACTACTCATGCCGATCCACGAATACGTGACGTTGACCGACACCGAACCTCATGGCTCCTCGAGTTCTACTCCGACTACTCCTTTGACTTCCAATCCTATGGCCATAAGTATAAGTAGCATAAACCAAGACCTCGCGCGCAAAGAACTGAAAGCTTCAATCCATCCCATTCCCTCCTTCATATTGCACCTTCAGTGCAGATGCAGAATCCAAATAACGCCAGAATATAGTTCTGCAAGTTGGAGAATTGTGTTCCAAATGGCTGCAACGGCTTTTGGATGTTTATAATTCTCCTGATGAATTGAGCTTCCTTCTTGGGATGTGTAGCCCTAGCTCAATGTTCGTCAACAGTTCTACCTGCCCCTGCTGTTTGGGCAATTCTACAGCTATACCTCTCTCCTTCGACCTCCGAACCCCCGCCACCTCCCCGGATGCCAGCAACTCCGCTTACTTCCCTCAGTAGCGTTTTCGTTTTCGGCGATGAGTAGCGGTGTGGCAAATATAGCTTTGACGAGATTTTGGTTCTTGCTTGTCAAATGAGTGAGTGGGTGCTAGGTAAAGCGATAGGAATTGGAAGAGAAGATGGATGAGGATACCCTCGTCTATGTCTGTCTGACGGGAAAGGCATTTTAGGATTGTGTGAGGCTGGGATGGAAGGCCAACGTTAACCATAGCCGTAGTTAGAATCCAAATGCGAGAGACAGATTCCACACCCCCAACCTTTATCCGTCTTCCAACTTGGGCTTGATATCGGTCTCCCCGTCCTCCTCTCCCCATCACAAACCCTCTCCCTACATATTTATCTTATCCTTCTCCTTACGGCTTTTCTTCCCCTCACTACGCTCTAGTGGGGGAGGGTTTGGAGATTTTGTTGGGGGCGAAGCGTAGCAGCGATGAACATTTCCTTACAATTTCCATAGGTTTAGCGGGTTAAGGGGCACGCCAGAATCCATCGACATCGTAGCACCTGATCGGCTTTCGAGTCTGCTCGTGTGGAATTTTTGTGCTTGAATTTAATTCAAGTAGAAGGATACTTAATAAGCGAGAGGCTCGAATGTAAGCACAATTAGAAGGATACTTATTAAGCGAGAGGGTCGATACCTTGTAAGCTCGAGAATTATTACTAAGGGCCCTCCGGCACCCTCAGATGTAGGATAAAACCGTTGTTGATGCTTGCCGTGATGTTATTGCGACTGAATCTACAGTCATATTAAGCGGCGGGCTCCAAACTTGAAGAGTGACACGAAGTAACTGCAAGATAAAATTTCCAGGACGAGGTCTAGCTTGGTGCTCTATGCGAAAGATCAAAGATCAGTTTGCAGGGCAAAAATATCGCCCTCATAGGGGGACGGTTACCGGTCTAGTCGAGGTCGAGGATCTGGATGTTCAAGTATACTGTATAGTAAAACATATCGGCCATAGCAATTAGTGTGAAATCTAAGCAAAGTATAAAGAAGGATGAATGCATTATGGCTGTCGTTTGATCGCAGGGATAAGAAAGCTCATCGTCGCTCGGTCACTTTCATCAAAGTACCAAACCACGGAAAATCGAGATAGAGCTGCTTGCATGTCGATAGAACACGTTGATAATAATCGAATAAGTCGGTGTTATGACGACTAGGTTGCGGAAGCATTCCGGGAGCAGTGTTTTCAGGCCGACAGAAAACGCAATCGAGTAATTCGTTTGACATTATTTCCAAAACGTTTCGCTCTGTGCTGCACATGGTTCTGCTTTGGGTCGAGTTGAAAATTCATGGACTCGTTGAAGGGAAGCAGAAACAAGACGCAATCCGTTTGGGAGCTGATTTGGGCGGAAGCGCCTTTCAAGTTATACTGAGAAAGTAGTGTAACAGGGTCCGCACTCGCTCAAGGCCCCCGCCGATAGAGACTCTAGAAGAATAGAACGAAAACTTACGTTGAAGATGGAATACTGGCCTCCGCAACAGGTTCAGAGGATGCTAGGGAATGGGGGAGTGTTACTAATATCCCCCGCCTCTCATTGCCGCCTCGCTAAAAATTCAATGAGCATATGGCAGCGGTTGGAGGATACTGCCACTGACCCATTGCTTATCATCAACCCGCTTCAAGTGCCAGCACTATTGACTCGAAGCACTTATAGTGACTCAAGCATTGAACTCGACTGGACGGAGCCGTAACGGAGGTAGTCGGAACGATACCGGATCATTGTAATAAGCATGACACATTTATCCGAATGTAAGCACTTTGTCCAATTCTTCCGAATTACCCAGAGGGGCATGCGCGTCCTCTCTGCGGCAAGATCATATATAATGGCCGATTCAACGGTTTTTTGTTTTCATCGTCTTCTCCTCCCATGTCTCATCCGGGCAGTTCCACTCCTCGCGATTCCTCCGACCGAACTTTGGCGAGCATTCACTCCACCACGATGGAAGACCACGGTGTAGCTGAAAAGTCTGCGGTTGTTCAACCACCTGAAAGTACAATAGTAACAGGGAAGAAGTTGGCGATTATTTTTGTCGCAATGTGGGTCTTCAAGCTTCAATTCTTTTCACCGATATTGATATTGAGTTTTTTTTTCCTCAAAAAAGGTTATTGTCGCTCCTATTAATCGCGTTAGATCAAACGATTCTGTCCACTGCTCTGCCTCGTATAGCTTCGGATTTCGACGCGTTCTCTCTCCAAGGATGGGTCTCTTCTTCATTTGTGCTCGCCCAAACCGTATTCCTTTTATTCTACGGCCAGCTTCTACGGATATTCCCTGCAAAGTGGATCTTGGTTTCGTCTATAATCATCTTTGAGGCTGGTTCGTTAGTCTGCGGAGTGGCGCAGAACGTCGACATGTTGATAGCAGGACGCACAGTCTCCGGTGCGGGAGCTGCAGGAATCTGTAAGTTCATTCTACTCTTTGTCTTTTTTTTTTTTGTACAAATGTAACTGACCAATGGCGTGAAGTTGTCGCTATGATCCAGATTATCTCCCAAGTTACAAGGCTCGAAGATCGACCGAGGTTGTTCGGCATGTTCGGTGCTGTTTTTGGTATCTCGTCTGTCATCGGACCTCTCATTGGCGGAGCGTTCACCGACCATGTACGACAAATAGCCTTTTCCTTTCATTATTTTATGCTCAGCGTTGTTTCTTTCATAGGTTACATGGCGTTGGTGTTTCTTCATCAACCTTCCCATCGGAGGTGTATCTGTGACTGCTGTCACTTTCCTCTTGAAAGCCTCGCCTCCTCTGGGATCGGATCCTACCAAACGTTCGACCAAAGACCTATTGCGACAGGTACTTGGACTGGACTATGTTGGTGCAGTTTTGGTCGCCGGAGCTGTTACGTGCCTTGTGCTTGCTCTCCAGTGGGGTGGAAACACCAAGCCATGGGGTGATAAGGCCGTCATTATCGTTAGTACCTCTTTGCATTGCGAAAACATTGCGCTGACTGGTTATTTCCTCATTTCAGAGTTTTGTCTTTGCGGGAGTCTTGACTGTGGCGTTCATCGCCTGGGAGATCTACAGTGGCGATAAAGCCATGGTCCCAACTCAAATTTTCAAGTCTCGTTCGGTGTTAGTACTTTTCTCCCTGCTGTATTTCTGTCCCTGACGTCGTCTACTTAGATACGCTATTATTGCATATTGCTTCCTCACTCGTTTCTCGCTTCTATTATTTTCCTATGTAAGTTTTTTTTTTCTTATTTGCGGAGAAGGCTCGTATCTAACGCAATTCTTACAGTATATTCCCATATTCTACCAGGCCGTGAGACACAAATCAGCCACTTCCTCGGGCATAGACCTTCTTCCTTTCATGTTGGGCGTTGTCCTCACCGTCATCAGCTCTGGCCAGATAGTCGGAGTGTTCGGATACTACTGGCCATTCCTCGTTGGCGCCCCCATCTTCCTCGCTGTCGGTTCCGGACTGCTCTACACCCTAAGCACAACGACAAGCTCTGCCCAACTCATCGGATTCCAGATCCTCGCTGGTGTCGGAACCGGAATGGGTATGCAGAACTCACTTCTGGCAATCCAGGCCGAGTTCAAAGACACCCCCAGAATTCTCGGCCAAGCAACCAGTATGGCTTCCTTTGGTCAGTTCCTAGGAGGTACACTTGGACTTGGCGTCGCCGAACCTGTTTTTGCATCCGAGTTGTCAAAGTACCTCCTTATCTACGCCCCCGACGCGCCTGCTGCCATCGTAGAGGAATCCCCCACCGCGATCTACACAGAGCTCTCCGCGTCGTTGATTCCTGGTGTCGTACAGGCGTACTCGCACGCTCTGCGCATCGTGTTTGTTATCGGTGTTCCTGTAGCGGGACTCGCGCTCTTCGCTGCCATGTTCATTCAGAATATCCGGATCAAGAAGGCTGCACCTCCCGCCGCCGCTCCTATTCCTTCAGGTGCGGTGGCTCCGGTGGAAAAGGACGTGGAAAAGGGAGAGGATGCGTAGTCGGGATGTTTAGCACTCACACTCCTATACATGATACATGTCATTAACGTTTTAAATATTCATCGGGTTAATACAGATAGCATATACTTAGTTTTGTAGTACCTAGTCGCATTGTACAAAAAGAACTCCACTTAGATAT